TTAGAGAAAGGGGGAGGAAGAGGGCACGGGGAAGGTTCGATTGACCTGTGGGTCCGTGGTGTCTGTGTCAGGTGTTGACGTGGCCGACCAAGAATTGACCATCTCCAGGAGCAGCAGCACTTTCCCCCCAGTTTCCTCCATTGTCGTTCCCACCCCTTGTAAAATCCCCCCTTGGTATGGGGTGCTCCACGGGGATTTGGGATGCTCCCGAGGTCCTATAGGGGAAGGGCATCGTCCTGCAAGCGTGGGGGGTACCGGGATGTGAGGTGTCCGTGGGGAGGGACACGGTGGCTGCTGAATGTCCCCATGGCGGGTGGGGAGCGCCCCCTGCTGTCACACGGGGGGGTGACCCAGGTATGGGTGACGGTGCCTCAGACACGGGTGGGGATGCCCCAGATACAGGTGAGGATGCCCCAGGTAGGGGTGAAGGTGCCTCAGACACAGGTGGGGATGCCCCAGATACAGGTGAGGATGCCCCAGGTAGGGGTGAAGGTGCCTCAGGCACAGGTGGGGATGCCCCAGCTGTGGGTGAAGGTGCCCCAGGTAGGGGTGAGGATGCTCCAGGTATGGGTGGGTCTCACCAGCTGTTGGAGGTTCGCTGCCCAGGGAGGGGAGGACATGTGTGTCTGTGCTCTGTATACCCAGCTGGAGGGTGGCTGTGGGGTGTCTCACATGCCCACAGTCCTGCCTGGGGGGAGCTGGATGCAGCTGCACCATGGGGCTGCCCCTTCCACTGCTGTGCCTGGGCGATAATGGCACCGGTGGGTGTTGGGGGTGTGGAGGGTCCTGCCAGCCTTGAGGCCAGAAGGCAACTGGATATAAGGATGAAATGGTTTATGCTGAGGGTGCTGAGGCACTGGCACAGCTTCCCAGAGAAGCTGTGGCTGCCCCATGCCTGGAAGTGTTCAAGGCTGGGTTGCATGAGGCTTGGAGCAACCTGGGATAGTGGAAGGTGACCCTGCAGGTTGGACTAGATGGCCTTTAAAAGGTGCCTTCCACGGCACATAATGCCGTGGTCTAGTTGCCATGGTGTTGTTTGGTCATAGATTGGACTTGATGATCTCAGAGGTCTTTTCCAACCTCTGTGATTCTGTGATTCCAGCCCAAATCATCCCATGGTTCCAAGAGCTGTGTCCTCTAGCTAGCATCCCTGTACCACTTGCAGCACGAGACAATATTCCGTACGTTGTGTGTTTGTGTCTCTTGCAGGTCTCCATCTTCTCGCAGCACTCAGGGTGCTGTGGGAGCAGGTTTGACACTGAAATGACTGAAGGGCTCCTTCTCTTCCAGATTATCAGCTGACGAGTGCTGAGCTGTCCTCGCTGCCAGCATTCAGCTCACCTGGAGGGCTGTCCCTTGGCAACATCT